TTGAATTTTCTCATTCACTGATGGCCAACACATTTTAAGTAAGAGTTACTTTAATGTTAAGAGCTTAGGCTCTCAGAAAGATCTAGTTTTTAATCTGGGCTTGGTTATTTATTAACTCTATAACACCTGAGTCAATTTCCTAATTTTTAAAATGATATATATACCTACCTAAAAAAATGGAAGTAAGGCAAAAGGTATGTTTGGCATGATATCTGGCCCAAAATAAACATTCAATATTAGTCATTATCACTTGGCAGGAATTATCCCCATTTACAGGCTGAACAAACAAAAACTGAGTTTCAGAGGTTGAGTAACTTCCCAGTAGACTGGGCCTCAAACCCAAGTCTGCCTCCAAATTCTGCTTTTCCATTGTAACAAAGCACCTGCTTCATGTATTATCTCTGTCTTTTAAAGAGGCTACAACTGCAATTTAACTTGTCTTGATTGTATGGGCACAGATTATGTGCTTTTAATCTTATTACATTTTTTTCTTATCCAATAGTTTGGGGTGGAGGAAATGCCTAAATACATCAATGTGGCATAGTAACTAAGGACCACAGGAGAGAATGAGAGACCTGTCCCCTCATTGTTGGTATGCTTATCTGGGGTAAGCATACTCCTCTCCATCTGGTTTCTTGCTTTTAAATCTGCCATGAGCTGGGCTCAAACAAGCCTCTTTATTTGAAGAATATGCAGAATATAAGTGAGCTTGGAGTTAAAGTTTGAGGAGTTATCCTAATATTAACAAGGTATACAAGCTTCAGTCATAGTCATGGTCCCAGCAAAAGATAGCACTCTGGGAAAGGATAATTCAAGGAGGGTCTGATAAGGGAGTTATTGAGAAAGGTGTGGGCAGGGCATAAGATAATCACAAGGGATAGTTAAGTAGTGCCCTGGGACTAGTGAGAGCACCTCCAAGCCCAAGCAACAAAGAAAATTAAAAATTTCCAAACCTAAAGGAACATGTCTTATAGAGAGAACCACCTTTAGAGGAACAGCAATCTTCAATCAAGGGACACAGCCAGCCAGAGGCAACGCCCATGGCAAGGGAGCAGGAAAATTAAATTCTGTAAGGTCAGATGGGGAGGAAGCCTGTTGATGTAATCCATGCAGGTAAGTCAGCCTCCCAAGATAGAGAATAGGGTGGGAAGGGAAAGGATGGAGAGTGGACCCAGAGGAGCAAATGGAAGGTACCTAATTTACCCTCAGAGTAGTCTTTCTGGGACACTTTTACACCTCTTCTTTCATTCTAATGTAAGTGCCAGATAAGGAAAGAGTCACTGAACATGACTATCTCACACCTGTGAATAGTTAATGCACAGGGCCTACCATAAAATAATTATAAGCAAATTTCTGACTAATAATTATGGTCATTTACAATTTCACTTTGTGGATAAAATGAGAGTTCCTGTGACCAGGATTCTCACCTGGCCCTGGTTGACTAGCTCACTGCACACTTGTGGGCAGTACATGGCTGCTGACTCTATATAAAGAGCTCCTCCCAGTGCTCTGGGCACAACACGGTGGCAGGGCTGCAAGGCTGCAGGAGAGCAGAGCAGAGGCTGGAGTGGTGGCAGCGCCAGGGACAGAGGCCCAGAGGACAGCTGTGCAGGACGACTGTAGAGAGAGACCCAGAGGATGGCTGTGTGGGACAGCTGCGCAGCAGAGAGGCCCACAGGATGGCTGTGCAGACAGACGGGCCCAGAGAAGGGCTGTGCAGACAGAGGGGCCCACAGGCAGAGACCAGCTTGCTGCATGCAGACTCGCTCTGAGTGAATGGGATTCTAGTGACTGACCTGCCACCTGGGAATAAAGTTGGGTATAACCGTTTCATCCCAAGAACATTTTACTGTCATTTTCTTTGGTCACATTGAATCCATAGAGAACTTGACAGGGGCTGAAACCTACTGGCAAGACAACTTGTAACTGTTTAGAATTCTTTGAAGGTCCAATGATTTATACACGTTTCTCCACTGTAAAGGACTTACCACCTACCTTGCTGTGCAAAATAAAATCACAACACAGATACTACTGTAACCCTCAAGGAGCTTATATTTAGGAGGTTATATTCTTAGATAACTAAAAAGGCACAATGAGGTAAGTGCCACCAGAGAGGAAAGAGCTGTGGTGCTATGAAAGTTCTAGAATAGGCTTCATTGCCATCCGGCCCCTGCTAGGCACAACTCCAGCCAGAACTCACTACCATTCCATTAACAAGGTATACAAGCTTCAATCAGGTCCCCTGAACAAGGTATACAAGCTTCAATCAGGTCCCCTGTAGGTTCAGATCTGGAGGACTACTCACCAAGCCCTCAACAGCCTCCAAGTTTCCACCCTAAAACCGCAGCCAATACTCCTCCTGGAAAAAGTCCCTTTCCTTCTTAGGCCTAGTTCAAATGTCACCTCCTTACCTGAAGCTTTCCTGGACCCTCAAAGAATAGTTATGACTACTCTGCATCCCCAAAAGCCTCTGCTTTGCTACTTAAAGCACTTTATCCATATGCGTTTGCAGGGTCCTTATTAGACTGTGAGATCCTAAGTCATCTTTGTATCATCAGCCACAAACAGACCCCAAAACAGTGTGTCAAGTACAGTATAAGTACTTGTCATACATTAACATATGCAGTTATCAACACATATCAATCATCACACGAAATGCAAATGAGGTAGGAACTCTCATTTCACTTTACAGATGAGAAGATGAAGTACACAGAAAGGTTATGTGCCCAAAGTCTCAGAGCTAGTAAGGACCAGACCCCAAGACTTCAACCTAGGCACAGCTCCAGACTGAATTTCAACAGACCTCAGAGGGTGAGGGGAAGAAGGTCCAACCAGGATGCATAGTTATTACCTACACACTGAGGTGTAGACAGACAACATTGGAACTTCTACTTATATGTACTTTAGTTCATCCTTTTGTAAAACGTCTGTTTTTGCATGTTATAAAATGTACATAACACAGGCTACAAGTCAACACTATAATGCACTTTAAAACATTCAATTGTATGTCAACTACACTTCAATAAAAAATTTAATGACACTAAAGCAAACATTCATGTAATGTATGTATGTACTCAACCCCATTTACTGATAGAACACTAAAAACATTTGAGGCCACTGCTCTAGACTACTTCCCCCAAGGACTCTGAACTACATTCTCTCTCTGGCCAGCACTTCAGTTAAAAATATTAACCAATCAAGGTAAGCTTCTAGAGGCAAGAGTGGGCTCTTATTCATCTCTGTAAACCCTACAACACAGGGCCTGGTGCTTAGCAGATGGTCAGTGTTGAATCTAACTGTATCATGGGAACCTCACTGACAAAATCCTCTTAATGCAACTTACTATATGCTTCCAGATTAAAATGAAAAGTACACTGAGCACACAGCCTAGGAATGTAATAGAGAATTCTCTTAGGGACTAAAAAATTTTAAATAAATAAATAAAAGTTACATAACAGAACCCAAAATGTACTTTGAAGGTGTACTTTAAACTTAAAACTGCAAAAACAGACCTGGACATAAAAAATTTAAGGTCGGATAAAGGGTCCTTCCATTTTACAGAGGTGGTGAATCTTTTGTCAGACCTGAAGGGTCATCTCTGCCTCTCTTTAGTTTTAAGATTCAAGGGGAATGGATCAAACTATCAAAAGCAGCAACTGCATTCTTGACTGTGAACAGGCATTAGCTGGGTACATCTACTTTGCATTTCTCCAATTCAATTTAATAGGGGTCAAAACAAAGAAGAAAGGGCTGTGTAAAACCTCTTTCCTGTGTTGAAGAGCATAAGCTCTGAGGCTAGATCACACGGTTCCTTATGTTTCCTCAGTTTCATCCTCTGCAAAATGGGCCTACTCAAATACTTAACTCTTACGTTGTCACCAAGATAAAATGTGAAAAAACATGCTCAACACAGACGTCTGTTATCTTCATTTACCATGTCTTTCTCCTCCCCTCAACCAAACTCAAAGCTTGGTCCATCCAGCTTATTGCTGTATTTCCAGGGCTGAGAATGGTATTTTTTACTTAATAGATTATTTAATAAATATTAAATGAATATAAATGCAAAATGCCTGCTGCTCAAAAAATGTTGGCTATTATTGCTATTATAAAGAGAAATGATTAAAATTTTATTGTTGTTATTAAGAGACCCCACCCCTCCTCCAAGGATCTCACAATTCTAGGAGGAACACTAGATAAATGCTGGGATAGAGAAATGGAAGTTAAGAAAACAACTGGATGATAAAGGAGGTCTAACCGAAGATAAAATTAAAATCTTAAATACATAACCAGAGCCCAATTTCAGGCTTTCTTTTCCCAAGCGAGGTTCACCCTGGATGAGGTTTATTAACGATTACAAAAAAGACAGTTTTCATGCTTGTGTACGTTCCAGAATCTGTGCCAAGCATTCTACTGGCCTCACAAAACCCAAGAATCCTGGGGCGGGGGCTGGAGATGCTCTTCACACCCCCATTTTGCAGAAGGGGGAAACGAGGCTCGAAGAGACCCAAGGTCACAGCCTGTCAGTGAGGGAACCGGGATATAAAGCCAGGCAGTCCGACCCCTGAGCCTGCACTCAACAGGCCCGCAAAGGGGCCATCTTCTCCTCCTTCACCGTCCACCCACCACACACCCCTCGAAATTGGGAGTGTGTAGTATTTCCCCAAGAGCCGGACTTAGTGGCCCCAGCACCAGGAGACAAAATAATCTTTGTCCGCTGACAAGTCTGACGGATGCCGGCCCGGCCTGTGCTGCGAGGCTGCGGGACCCAGTTTCGCTCACAGAGTGAGCCCTAAACCGTCCCGGCGCGCAGGAAGCGCTCGGGCGGCCTCTACAGCCCCGAGGGCCCGGCCCGCCGCGTGACCTTGGATCGGCCGCCCGGCTTCGAGCCTCAGTTTCCCCAAGCCCAGCCTGGCGCTGGGGGCCTCTAGGGAGCTAGCGCCGGTGCAGACGCAGGCCCCTCACACGCCCCCCTCAATCACCCGCCTTCCCGCCTCGCTTACGCTGGAAGGCGGCCGCTCCAGGGACGCCCACCATCGCCGAGCGCCACTGCCGAGGGCCTCCCGCCTCCACCCGCGGCCCTGGCCCCTCGCAGGCGCCGCCGCGTGACCTGTAGCCGCCACGTTAGCCAGGCTCAGCGCCGCCGCCAACGAAACCGCTGCCGTTACCACCGCCGCCGCCACCGCCTCCACCTCCAACGCAGCCGTTAGGCCGTGCGCTGCCCCGCCCCCAGATGGCCCCGCCCCGTCTGCCGGGCACGCCCCCGCTGCGCGCTCTCGCCCTGCAGACAAACGCACGCGGAAGCAGGGCTCCCCTAACCTGCCCCGCCCCTTCCGCGTGAACCTACCACCCTATCCAGGCGCATCCGGCTTCTCAGGCCCGCCACTCTTGCGTCACGCGCTCCCTTCAGGCGCCAGGCTTACTCTTCTGGACCCGGGCTAACGGCTGTGGCCAGGCTAGAGGGCCAGGCCTGGGACCGGGGCGGAATCCTAGAGGAGGTGACAAAGCTTTGGGGGAGGAGCTTTGGCGGAGGTGACAAAGCCTCACCTGGATTCTCCAGGTTAAGGCCTGGGCGCCTTTGCGCGTGTCAGCGGATAAGTCACTTAACCTGTTTTGGACTTGCGTATTCCAAATGTCTGAAATGTCATCACCATAACGTTAAGAACTGTTAGCATCATTATTATTGACTTTTTATCATACTCGTGCTATTTTTACATAGTCCATCCAGCTAATCCTCACAAGGAGGATGAGAGTTATTTTCCCTTTTCTATACATGTGGGAAGGGCTTCCCACTGGTTACTGTTAGCAAAAAGAGATGGGATTGAAACATAGGAATTTATGACTTCAGACCTAATACTTTGAGATATTCTGAACTACTGTCTCCCAAAGACTTAAAAACGGATTAAAATTTAAGTGGGAGATTAAAAATTCCAAACACCTTTATGTATGAAGACAAAGAACCATAAACAAAGTTCTTTTAATTTTGTCTTTTACTTGCAGGAGACTGGAATGAAATATTTGTAACATATTCAACAAAGAATCAACACTCAGAATACAAAGAACTCCTATAAACCACTAAGAAAAACAAGATAATTTGAAAGAAAAAATGGACAAAGAATAGACAATACACAGAAATCTGAGTAGCTTAAAAACATCAAGATGTTCAGCTTCTCAGATAACCAGGAAAACACCAATGAGTTGCCATATTTCATGCATTAGATTGGAAATTCCACCTGTGGGCCTCCATCCCAAAGAAACGCTTCATCATGTGCACAAAAAGATGCTTAGGAAGGAAGTTCATGTCAGAATTATTTATATGAACAAAAATCAGAATTGGTTTAAATGCTTTTCATGGACTGAAGTAAATGATGAAGAATAATACGCAACATTTAAAAAGTAAGTACATCTACTTGTGGTAATAAAAAAATATTACTAAGACATACTGCAAGCTGGAAAAGCAAACTGGAATTTCATACAATTGTTCTCTTTACTTCCAAGTTTTGGATAATTGGATAATTTTTTTTAACATATACATACTATGTACACTATAGAAATTGTGCTAAATCTAAGAGCCCACACACCAGAGATATTAATCATTGCTCCATACTTCCCAGCTATATTCTCTTGGACAAGTCATTTCACTCTTTTGAGCCTCAGCAAGTGGCTCATGATAGTACCTAGTTCACAAGATGATTGCATGAGAAGCACAGAGCCTGGTACACTTTTTAAATGTTACTGGTATTATTATATTCACTTTCTTTTTTTTAAATCTCTATACCCACCTGTTACCCCACTACCCTCTATCCTCCCTGGAAGCTGTTAGTACATAGTAAGTGATCAAAAAAATTATTGTTGAGAAATTCTGTTACTGTTCAAATCCTGCTATATACTGCCTTGTCTTCTTCTCTCAGCACTTGGCTATCTAGGGTATAATGACTGTGCAACTTTAGATATTTTTATGGTGCACACATTTAGGAAATACTTGCTGAATTAAGTCTGTGAGGAAGGAAGGAAGAATGTAGGACCATTAACCACCCAAGACTGCATGCTATGATTTGGTTGCCTGGTCAAAGAGGCTGCATATAGAATGTACTCCCACCATGTTCACAACAGCATGAGTTCATTCATCAAACATTTAGTGAGAAACTAGGTCCTAACTCCATGGTGTACAAAGCAAGTACTGTAAAGAAGTACTATAAAGAAGAGGTGGTAAACATACACAATGGAATATTATTCAGCCATAAAAATAAAATAAATCCTGCCATTTGCAACAACATGGATGGAGCTGGAGGATATTATGCTCAGTGAAATAAGCCAGATGGAGAAAGACAAGTACCAAATGACTTCACTCATTTGTGGAGTATAAAAGCAAAACAAAAAACTGAAGAAACAAAGCAAAACTGAAGGAACAAAACAGCAGCAGACTCCAAAAGGGGACCAGTGGTTAACAAAGGGAAGGGGCTGGGGAGGCTGGGTGGGAAACGAGAAGAGAATTAAAGGCACTGTAATTCACAATCACAATATAGGTAGGTCACAGGTAAGGCAATACAGCACAGAGAAGACAAGTACTGACTCCACAACATCTTAGTACACTGAAAGACAGTGACTTCAATGGGGTGGGGCAGGGGGCAGGTGAGGAATTGATAATATGGGTGAATGTTGGAACCACAATGTTGTTCATGTGAAACCTTCATAAGATTGTATATCAATGATACTTTAATTAAAAAATAAAATAATTAATGTTTACACAAAAACTTGCACATGATTGTTTATAGCATCTTTGTTCACAATTATCAAAATAGAAATAATCTAAATGTCCCTCAATTTATTAATAGATAAACAAACTGTGGTATGTTCATTGTATAAATGAACACTGGTCAGCAATAGCAAGGAACAAATTTCCAATACCTGCTACAACATGGATTAATTTCAAAGAAGTCAGACTCAAAAGGCTACATATTTTATGATTCCATTTATAGTACAGTTTTTTAAAAGGCAAAATAATAAGGGGGGCATGGGGAAGGCAGTAGAGCACAGAGAAGACAAGTAGTGATTCTAAAGCATCTTACTATGCTGATGGACAGTGACTGCATGGGGTATGAGGTGGCGACTTGATAATAGGGGGGAATGTAGTAACCACAATGTTGCTCATGTGAAACCTGAACATAAGATTGTATATCAATGATACCTTAATTTTGAAAAAAAAAATTTTTTTTACGGCAAAATTATAGGAACAGAAAACAGATCTGTGGTTCCCAGACACTTATGGTAGCAGTAAATAGTAACAATAAAAGGTCATGAGGAAAATTCTGGAGATGTAACTATTCTACATCTTGTCATGATGGTTACCTGATTGTATGCGTTTGTCAAAATTCACAGAACTATATATTTTAAAAAGTGAAAGTTATTTTATATGTAAACTTCTAAGAAGTGCATCTGAAAGTGAAACATTGAACCATAATGTACACATGTAGCAAAATGCACAAATCTCAAGCACACAGCTCTATGAATAGTTTCAGGCTTAATACTTTAGAACCACCACTGGTTCAATATGAAGCTCATTTTCCACCATCCTAGAGGGCTTTGTAGAGTCCCTTTCCAGTCAATACTTCACACAGAGGTCACCACCACTCTGACTTATATCACTATAGCTATGTGATTTTGTGTTTAACACCTCTATTGAGATATGATTCATATACCATACATTCACCCACTTAAAGAGTACAATACAGTGGTTGTTAGTATAGTCACAGAGTTGTGCAATCACCACCAGAACCTAACTTTGGAACATTTTTATCACCCAAACAATAAACTCCATACTCATTAATAGTCACTCCCTATCTCGCCCTCCCCTGGCTCCTATCATTGCTTTTTTTTAAATCAACCTTGAGGTATACTGTTTATGTACAATGAATCACGCTAAGTTAAAGGGCCCAACGTGATGAATTTTGACAATTATAAACACCTGTGAAATCACCAGCACTGTCAGGATACAGAACATTTCCATCACTCCTGTGAGACTCCTCCTGCTCTTTACAGTCCGTCCTTACACCTGCACCAGGATCCAGAAAACCACCCATCTTCTTTCTGTCACTATGCATTAGTTGGCACATTCTAGAATAACATGTAAATGGACTCATACACATAGACTTCTGTCTGGCTTCTCTCATCCAACATGATGATTTTGAGAATCATCTATGTTGTATCTATCAGTAGTTAACCTTCCTTTTTTATTGTCAGGTATTATTCCATTGTTTGGAGACACCACATTCTACTTTTTTTGAAAATAAAACTCTTGCTGAATACCTGGGCTGACATTGCTTCAAACACACAGATTTCCCAAGTTCTATTGTGTTCCAGATATAGAGATAACAGTCTCTACAGGCTCACCACCTTTCCTATTTCTTTATCATTCTTGCTTAATTCAGGGTGGATGAGTATATGTATTGACAGTGGGGAAAACAGTACCTCTGGGAACAGATCAGAACCATAAGCAACAGTAAATATCCTTTGGTGATAAGACCTGGAAGGTCAGAGACACGAACATTTAGGAGTAAGAGACAGGATCAGGTGCCATATAAACTGAATTTGACTTCAGCTTTGCAATAGCTCCATTTTCCAGCCAAAGGAACTGAGGGTCAGAGAGGTTAAAAGACTTCCCATAAAGTTTTCCTGAGTCAGAGGCTGAGTCTCAAATGACAATCGAATTCTGATATTCTTTACACAACCTTTTAAAGTAACTACAGACTTGATACACCTAAGGAAATTGCTCATTGCTCAGGGAGCTGCCTGTTTTTTTGTCTAAACCAAGCAATTGTTTTTCTTTAACAAGTGACCAGGAGGATAAAGATGGGTGGCAGGGAGAAGTGCACGCTGCCCATCTGCCCTGACCATTCCCCTTCTGCTAATGCATGGTAAACAGGAGGGCTGGCCAGATGACAGTCAGCGAGGGGAAGCAATTTAAAAGTACATGATCCTTGTTGTGTAAACAAGAGCCTGAAATTGCCCATGACACTTTAGAAAGCCTATCTGTACGCCACAGAAATATTTGGTACAGCTAGGACTTTTTTTAATAAGCAAGGCTCTTTCTCCATAGGAGGCTGAAGAGCACAAGAAGTCCCAGAAGGAGCAATGAATAAGTTGAGTTATGTTATTAAAATTCATTATTGTTGATGATTGTGAGAGGAATGTGAGCTTACTCACGGTAAAGAATTTATGTA